CCCCCCCCCCCCCCCCCGCCGGGGGCTGGGGCTGGTGGCCAGGAAGGTTGACCCTGTCTGTAGAGGGTTGGAATTCGCAGCTGGAGGTTGAATGGCCAACGGCCAGTGACTTAGTCATTGACCTTGTAACAAAGTCTTAGTAAGAAGCAGGCACGGTGCTGGGTACTGAGATCGGATGGGGAACCAGAGACGGGGCGCCCTCTCCCAGAGCTTCCCGGAGAGTGGGGGAGACTGATCTCAATCGAAGGATCTCACAAGAGAGTATTTGGTTGTAAATTCCGAGAACACTATTAAAGGAAAGGAACGTACTTCTCCAAATGTGTACTTTGTAGGAATGTGACCCCGACTCGGAGGGGGGTTGGTCAGGAAGGGCCCCTAAGGAAGTAGTGCTTGAGCCAAGGTCCAGGTGGTGGAAGGGAGCCCGCATTCCAGGCAGAAGGAACGGAGTGTGCAAAGTCCCTGTAGCAAGAAAGAGCCCTGCTTGTTCAGGGACTTGAAGAGGGCGTGGCTGGGGGGGGGGCGCCCAGCACACAAACCTTGGCACACTTTGCCTTTGCCCTGAAAGCTATGGACAGCCACCCAGGGGCCGTGCGGATGGCGCGAGGCGCGGCATGGCTGTGTTTGTGTTCTGCAAAGACCCGGGTCTTTTGGGGGTTGGTCAGAGTGCATGTTGGGAGACCACTGAGGGCTTTCAGGGTCTTCTGGTGGGAAGGGCGGTGCCGTGGAGGAGAGCCGCGTGGTAAAGTTGACGGAGCCGGGGGCGCGAGGTTGACTGTGACGCGTGGGGGCGAGGTTTCGGGCTGGCCTTCTGGATGGAGGGTAGACCGCGGAAGAGAATTGATTTGGGGGAGAACAAGGAGGACCTTAAACACCGGAAATTCGCTTTCCTTCAGTTCCAGAGCCTGGAAGTCTGAGGTCGAGGTGCTGGCAGCGTTAGGGTCTCTGAGCCTCTCCCCTTGCTTTGCAGGTGGCTGCCGTCCTGCTGTCACACGGCCATCCGTGTGTCCTGGCTGCTTGTGTCCCTGTCTACTTCTGTAAGGACGCCAGCCATGCAGGATTAGGGGTGCCCCAAAGATTTCACTGTAGGTTAATCGCCTTTTTCCAGGCTCCTTCTCCAAACACAGCCGTGCTCCGAGGTACTAGGGGTTAGGGCTTCAACACAGGAATTTGGGGGGCACGATTCAGTCCATAACTGCCGTGGACTTGTTGGTTCCGAGGTGGCTCTGAGAGGTCCTGATGGAGATGACCCCCCATGGCTGTTTTATGCTTTCTTATTTTTTAAGGTTTATATATTTTGAGAGAGAGAGAGAGACCGTGCACGCATGCACACTGGGGAGGGGCCAAGAGGGAGGGAGACACAGAACCCCAAGCAGGTCCCTCCCTGTCGGCGCGGTGGAAGGGAGGGTGGGACGCGAACCCGTGAGATGATGCCCTGAGCCAAAATCAAAGTTGGGTGCTTAACCAGCTGAGCCACGCAGGCGCCCCTCCGCAGCTGTTTAGGGCGCCTGGCTGGCTTCGCTGGTGAGCGGGTAGCTCTTGATCTCAGGGTTGTGAGTCCGGGCCCCGCACTAGGGGTAGAGAGGACTTAACAATAAACTCTTTAGGGGAGCCTGGGGGGCTCAGTCCGTTAAGTGTCCGACTCTGAGCTGGCGCTGGCGGTGTGGACATGCTTGGGACTCTCTCCCTCTCCCCTCCCTCCCTCTCTCTCAAAATAAATAAACACGAAAGAAAAAGATCTCACTTCTCTGCTGGCCCTTTGTGCCCACAGGCTGCTGACCGCACCGCGTTGGCACCTTCCCTCAGCCGACGTGCGCACTTGGAGCTGAGGCTCGAAGCCGTCTTGCATTTGTATTACTTTCTCTCACTGCAGGCCCGGTGCGTGTGAGTTTGGTGGCTTGTGTCCTTTAGGGGATTGGGCCATTTCATCTAAGCTGTAAAATTTGTGAGTTCTTCATCATATTCTTTTCTTTTCCTTTGATGTCTCTGGGGTCAGTAATCACGGCCCTTCTGTCACTCCGAGTTGATCATTTGTGTCTTCTCTCCTCTGTCTTGCTTAGCCTGGCTAGAGGGTATCACGTTAATGATCTTTTTGATTTATCGTTTCTTTTAAAATTTTTAATGTTTTATTCAGTTTTGAAAGAGAGAGAGAGACAGCATGAACAGGAGAGGGTCAGAGAGAGAGGGAGACACAGAATACGAAGCAGCTCCAGGCTCTGAGCTGTCAGCACAGAGCCCGACGCGGGGCTCGAGCCCACGAGCCGCGAGATCACGACCTGAGCCGAAGTTGGACGCTCAACCGACTGAGCCCCCCAGGCGCCCCTTTAATGATCTTTTTGAAAAGTCAGCTTTTGGTTTTGTTGATTTTTCTTTACTGTTGTCCTCTTTTCATTTTTCACTGATCGGAGCTGCCATTTTTTAGTGTTTCTTCCTCGTGCTTTAAGCTTACGTTGCTTTTCTTTCTCCAGTGTCCTGAAGTAGAAGCTTAGAGTTCTAATTTTAGCTCTTCTTTTCTACATATTTGCACTTAATGCTATAAATTCCCCTCTAAGTACTGCTAGTTCTGTTCTCCACAGACTTTGATGTTATATCTTCATTTTTATTTGGTTCAAAATATTTTTTTACTTTTTCTTGAGGCTTCTTTGATTCGTGTGTTATTTAGAAGCTGTTACTTCATCTCCAGACCTTCCGGCTGTCTTTCTGTTCTGGATTTTTACTTCAGCCCCATGTTACGGTATGAGAACATGAATCATTTGATTTCTATTCTTTAAAATTTTTAAATTCTCCCTCACTCTCTCTTCAACTCAATGAGTCAATCATTCCTCTCCATTAGAAAAAAAGAAAAGCTATCCATACCCAAAATACAGTATTGGTTTTTTTTATCCAGTTACATTTTTTTAATGTTTATTTATTTTTGTGAGACAGAGAGTGAGTGGGGGAGGGGCAGAGAGAGGGAGACACAGAATGTGAAGCAGGTTCCAGGCTCTGAGCTGTCAGCACAGAGCCCGACGCGGGGCTCAAACCCACAAACTGTGAGATCATGACCTGAGCCGAAATCAGACACTCAACTGACTGAGCCACACGGGTGCCCCTTCCTTTTCCTTTTTTTTTTTTTTTTTTAAGATTATTTATTTATTTGAGACAGCACATGCGTGGCGTGCAGGAGGCACAGAGAGGGGGAGAGAGAGCCTCCCAGGCAGGCTCCGTGCCGTCTGCGCAGAGCCTCACGTGGGGCTGTAGCTCATGGACTGCGAGCTCATGACCTGCTTAACCGACTGAGCCCCCAGGCGCCCCAATAGTTTGTCCTTTGTACTGCTCAGTAGTATTCAGTGGTACGAACGGACCACAGTTGGGTGACCCATTCATGTGACGAGGGGTATCTGGATGTTTCCGGTTTTTTATTATGATAAATCAAGAGGCTGTGAAACTCTCATCCAGTCTTGGAGTCAACCTAAGCTTCTGTTTGTCTTGGAAATGAGATACGCACGGATGGTCAGCTTGTACGGCAGGTTTTACCCTGGCAAACCCTTGTCCAGAGTGCGTGCTTTAACACAGGTGTTTAATGCAGAAACAAAAGGCGAGTAGTGAAAAGTCTTAATAATCCTGCAATCTCACTTCCCTCCTGCCCTCCCCGACGGACGACTTTCATGGTTTTTTGTGTATCTTTCCAGTGTTTTATACCAAAATATAAGCAGATGTGAGTATTTTTGTTATCTCTTTGCTTCCACATAAAAAAGTACCGTGCGTGCCACTCTGCACTTTCCTGTATTCATTTCACAACAATTTGGCTGTGGTTCCACGACAGTACGTGGGGCTTCCATGTCCTTTTTTCTAGGATGCGTAGTATCCCGCTGTGTAGATGAAGTGAAGCAGCTCGGGTTGTTTGCAGTGAAAAAGGAGGGGGTGAGTTACCTTGCGTGCGGCATCACAGACCCGTGCCGGGTATCTGCCGGGTAACCGTTTGGAAATAGTTTGCCGGATCAAAGAGCAAAGAGACGTAAGGTTTTGGCAGATGTGGCCAGATCGCCTCCCAGCGGGACTGTACTGTGACACCCCAGCAGTGCCTGCGAGCCCGTCTCCACAGCCCCGCGGTGCTCGTGGGTGTTAAGGGTCTTAGTTCTGTGCCAGTCAGAGAGGTGCAAGTGGCCCGGCTCTGTGGCTTCACTTTGCATCTCTCTTCCGAACGAAGGTGGGCGTCTTCTCATAGGCTGAAGGGCTACTTGAATTTTTTTTTCTGTGAAGTCGATTTTCATGACCTTTGCCCATTTTTCTGACGCATTGATTATCTCTAGGAGCTCAGATCTTAGAGGGATGATCTCTTGGTGGTTAAATGAATTGCAAATAGATTTCTCAGATTTTTGTTTGTTTGGATCCGTGGATGGTTGGTGGCCACACAGCGGCTTCTGTTTCCTGTGCCGCCACTTCTCTTTTCCTGTCGCTTCTGGATTTTGAGTCAGAGTTTCAGAGGCCTTCCTCATTCCAACACTGTGAAGGAATTCACCATTGTTCTCTTCTGGTTCTTCTCAGATTTCGGTTTCCTTGTATAAAAGTATTCGGAGTTTATCTGGGTGCGTGGGATGACATTTATATCCAGCCTCAGCTCTTCCCCAGTGACTCTCCAGTTTTGACTCCATTTTTTTAGAAGTCTGTCTGTACCTCACCAATTTGAGATGCCATCTCTACATGCTAATTTCTGCGGGTGTTTACATCTTTTTCTGGGTGTTTTCTTTTGGTCCATTGATTGGTGGGTCTGTTCATGAGCCAGTAACATGCTGTTTTAGTTATTCTAGCTTTACAGCATGATTGTCTAGAATTGTGGGTCCCCGATTTGTTGGTTTTCATTGTCAGTTCCCATGGCCATTCGTTCTTGTTATTTTTTCCCCTTAATTTTAGATTGAGAGAGAGAAAGAATCTTAAGCAGGCTTCATGCTCAGCACAGAGCCCAACATGGGGCTCAATCCCACGACCCTGGGATCATGACCTGAGCTGAAATCAAGAGTTGGACGCTCAACCGACTGAGCCCCTCAGGCGCACCTCTTGTTCTTTTTTGATAATGTACTTTAGAATCAGCTTTTAAGGGGCACCTGGGTGGCTTAGTCGGTTAAGCATCCGACTTTCGCTTAGGTCATGATCTCGCGGTTCGTGGGTTCGAACCCCGCGTCGGGCTCTGTGCTGACAGCCAGCTCAGAGCCTGGAGNGGGTTCGAACCCCGCGTCGGGCTCTGTGCTGACTGCCAGCTCAGAGCCTGGAGTCTGTTTCAGAGTTTGTGTCTCCCTCTCTCTCTGACCCTCCCCTGCTCACGCTGTCTCTCTCTCTCCTAGAAATAAATAAAACATTAAAAAAATTTAAAAAAAAAATAGAATCAGCTTTTAAGATTCCAGAAAGCAAAATTGTTAATATTTTTATTGAGATCATATTACATTTATAAGTTAATTTTCACAGAACTGACAACTTTATGAGATGGAGTCTTCCTGTCTAAGCACATGTTTTGTCTATTTGTTCAGGGCTTCTTTTGAATATTTAACGTATATTATCTTTTATTTATTATTCATTTATAGAGAACAAATGGGGGAGGAGCAGAGAGAGAGGGCGAGAGAATCCCAAGCAGACTCTGCACTCCGTGCAGAGCCCGACGTGGGGCTCAAACCCACAAACTACAAGATCATGAACCCGAGCCCAAATCAGATGCCCAACCCATTGACCCACCAAGGCACCCCTACATCACGTGTTTTAATATATTTCACATATGGGTTGTGCACATTGGGATGTATTGCAGAAAGGACCATCATTCCCCACCCCTCCCTGTAGCCAGGCCCTTTGCACTGTGACTTTGTAGCTCCTTCAGTCAAGACTTTGCTGACCTGATGATCTTAACCAACAGAGAATGTGAAGGAAGTAACATTGTGCGTAGACTTAGTTCTAAACCTAAGTCTCCAGAGGGCCTTGCCTTGCGGAGTTCTGCGCCCATTCTTGGAACCCAGCCTCAGCCCGGGCCAGCCAGCCGGAGAATGAGAGACACGTGGCCGAATTGCACCCATATCCCAGCTAAGAGCAGTGGCCGCCAGCCACTCACAGATACAGAGCCCCCAGCCACTCACAGCTGACCCCAGATGCAGGGGGGAGCCCGCCGAGCCCTGCCCATGACCGACAGGATTGTGAGCTAAATGAACTTGGTAGTTTCGAATCACTTAGTTGTGAAGTGGTTTGTAAAAGGCAAAACCGCCTGGTACATGAAGTTCATTGTAACTTACTTCTAACTGTCCTATCTTTTTCCTGATGCACGTGAGGAATTTGGTAGCAAAGACTGACCAGCAAGGAGCACACTTACTTCCCCCCTCCTCCTGGGCACACTCCTGGCTTCCTGGCACTTAGGCCCGGCCGGGTGACCTGAGTCCCAGCCAGCAGAGCACGGGAGAAGGTGAACGGGCTGACTGCAGGGCCCAGACCGTCCCTGCCGCGGTCCTCTGCCTGCTTCTTCCGCGGGTCGGGGGCTCGATGCGAGTGTCCCGGGCAGCCTTGCACGCCAGTTGGAAGACGAGACTTGCCGTCATCTTCCCGGGTCCCTGGTAATCGCAGGGAACCGAGCCCCCCGCTCGCCATTCCTCGTCCCTGTCACACCACTGATTCTCCATCTCGTGAGGGAGAGACAGACTTCAGCTGTGTCGAGCCGTGGAAATGTTGTTTTCTCCTTAACTAATACAGGGCATCCCTCGTCATATCCTAAAGAAAACAAAAGCAAAGCTCTTGAGATAGAATTCACATACCAAAAAATTCACTCTTCTTGAAATGTACAATCAGGGGCTCCTGGGTGGCTCAGTCGGTTAAGTGTCCAACTCTCAATTTTGGCTTAGGTCATCATCTCATTGGCTCGAGAGCTCGAGCCCCTCGGCAGGCTCCGCTGCTCCCCTCAAAATAAAATACATTAACTTTGTTTATCTTTTAAAATGTTTATTCATTTTTGAGAGAGACAGAGAGTGAGAGCTGGGACGAGCAGAGAGAGAGGGAGACACAGACTCTGAAGCAGCTCCAGGCTCTGAGCTGTCAGCACAGAGCCCGACAAGGGGCTTGAACTCACGAACCGTGAGATCCTGACCCGAGCCAAAATCGGACCCTTAACCGACTGAGCCGCCCAGGTGCCCGTAAAATACATTACCTTTAAAATGAAATAAAACAGGGGCGCCTGGGGGGCTCAGTCGGTTAAGCATCCGACTCAGAATCGTGAGTTCAAGCTCTGCATTGGGCTCCGTGCTGGGCGTGGAGCCTACTTAAAAAAAAATAAAATAAATGAAACGTACAGTTCCGTGGTTTTCAGTATATCCACAGTACTATGTAACAGTCTCCGCTTTAATTTTAGGACATTTTCATCGCCTCACAAGGAAACGCTGTAGCCACCAGCAGTCCCTGCTGCTTCTCTTCCTGCGGCCAGTCCACTCTGCTGCCAGGGGTTGGCCTATTCTGAACATTCCTTATAAATGAGTTTATGTAATGTGTGATATTTTTTGACAAGTTTCCTTTTTTTTTTTTTAAGTTTATTTATTTATTTTGAGAGAGAGTCAGAGAAGAGGAGTGAGTGAGGGGCAGCAACAGGGAGAGAGAGAATCCCAAGCATGAGGTCATGACCCGAGTCGTCCTCAGGAGTAGGGCCCTTGACCGACTGAGCCGCCCGGACGCCCCTTTTGTCTATGGGAAAGTTTGCTACTGTTTTTCACTTTTTTCCCTGATAGCATCTTTTAAAAAATATCAGTGTTTTTGAGTATAACTTGTGTACAAACAACGGGCATCCATTAAAGTGTCTCATTCCATGCATGTTGGTAGCGCAGGCCCATAGCTGTGAAAGTACCAGGAAGTCAGGACATAGACCGTCTACATCCGTCCCCTTTCGCAGCCCCTCTGCCTCGCCGAACCCAGTGGGCTTGGGGGTTCTGATCCAGCCCTGCGCCTCCTGGCTCCTCTATGGCCACAGCGCCCAGTGACGCCATGCCTGCTTCCAGGGCGAGCCCCTCGTCTTGAGAAGGCTTGCTTTTGCCGGTGTTTTCTGAGAATTGTCACCACTGAGCAATTTCCAGGATTTCTCTTTCCACCTTGCCAGCCTTGCTCAGTCTCGTTCAGCGTAGAGTTCCCATCGAGGCTGGGGAAAGGGCATTTCTTCTTCCCTGGAGGGGTCTGGGGTCTGCCCGCGCTGGGCCCCTGCCTGGGGCTCTGCCCAGCACCCTGCCTCGTCTCCTTGTAGGACTCAGGGTGGCGTTCACGTTCACGAGGACGGGCTGACCGTGACCTCTCCGGTCCTGATGTGGGTCCAGGTAAGCACCCCGTCCCTGGCCCTCTCCTGTCCCCAGCCAGGCTCACTGGCGGACTTGCTGAGTCCAGGTCCTCACTGGGAGACGGGGTCTGCGTGGCTCCCAAGTCCAGACGCGTCCTCAACCCGTGTCGGTCCTGAGCCGGGAGGGCGCCCAGGACGTGCGGGTCTGGTGCGGGGTGCCTGCGAGTCCCGCCCATCAGTGACCATCTTCAGAATGCCGCCTGCCCACACCTTTGCCAGACACGCTGCAGGCAGGCCCTGTGGCCTCCCTCGCCCCCCGAGACCCAGACACGCCACTGGTGTCTCCGTGCTCAGCCCCCAGACGCCTCAGCTCTCGAAGCAGGGGCCCCCCGAACGGTGGCTCGTGACCCCACCAGTCAGGTTCTGAAGGACCCCAAGGCAGGCCTGCCTGCTCAGGACCAAAGGGAGGAAGGTGGCTGCAGCCCAGTATGGGCGACCCGCGAAGCCAGGACCGGGCGTGTGGCCGGCACGGACCAGTGTGAGCGGGCTGGGCTTAGGGTCAGGGAGCCTACGACCGACCGGGAGCCGCCAGAGGCAGCGCTTCACGCGTCCGCCACAGCTTGGTCAGGCCTCCCGCGCCTGTTTAAGCAAGTAATCCCTTGTACAAAATTCTTTCCGTTAAGATAATCAGCGTGAGTTTTAAAAAGTTTTTATCAGCTTGACCCTGACTCATGCTGGAGGACTGGGGCAAAGGGCAGATTTCCACCAGCCCGGCCGGCCGCGTGTACGCGTGGGGCTGAGCCGGCCCAAGGGTGGTGGGGGCGACAGCAAGAGTCGGTGTCTAGAGGTCCCACTGATAATGTCAGGGGCTTCTGACAGGTTAAGGCGTTAACCTGGGGTGCCGAGCAGTGGATGGAGAGCCAGGCTGGGGGTGGGGCCGCGTGATTTCTGATGGTGAGCAGCCCCTCAGGACTGCACTCCCCGTTCCCAGGGTGCCCCCCTGGGGTTTGGCCAGGGGCCAAGTTGGTGGCCACAGGGGGGATGGTGGAGTTGGGTCAAAGCCCCAGGGGCTGGTCTGTCCTCAAGGGAAACACAGCCCGGGGTGAATCTCTAATCCTGCCCTGAGATCTCAGGGTAAGTGTCGGGCTCTGCTGGGCAGCACCGTCTGTCCCCCACTTGGGGTCTGGCAGGAAAGGACTTCGCACCCAGACGGTGGAGGGTGGAGTGGGGACCGGGTCATATGGCCACCGTCGCTACCTGCTCCTTCCGGCCTGGTGCGCCTGGACTCGGGCAGCTGCAGCCTCTCCCCACTCTCGCGGGGCCGTCTGCCTTGCCCTTCGCTTCCCTGTCGCAGTGAAGTCACCCCACTGGTCCTGGGGGTTGAAAATGCAGATTAAAGAAACCACGACATAACCCACCTTGATTTGGCCCTTCACGAGTGCATGGACGTCACAGCCGGAGAAGCAGAATTTGAGGACCGGGGGTTTCTGACCCCTTCTATTTAAACTATTTTTACCCTACTGCACCTTTTATTCAGCCAATCCCAACTTGAATTAGTTCCGGTGCTCACGTGTCCCGGGCCGTCAGCCCGTTTTCAGCTCCGTGCGACGCAGCACTCCCGTCCCGATGTTGAGGCTGGCGGGTGAGCCTGGCCCAGTGTCCCGGGGCAGCCACGGCGGGCTCTTGTCTTCCAGGCTTTGGACATCATCTTGGAGCGGATGAAGTCCTCAGGCTTTGACTTCTCTCAGGTCCTCGCCCTGTCCGGGGCCGGCCAGGTTCGTCTGGAGCAGCCTCTGTGCGGCGGGCGGGCGACCGTGGGGTGGGGGGTGGGGGGGCTCCCCAGGGAGGGGAGGGCTTGTTCTCGAGAGCCACCGCGCACGTGCCGTGGCTGGAGGAGACGCCTGCCGCTCTCCTGCCTTGGAGGTCCTCACAACAGGACACGGGTGAGGAAGAACCCGATGCAGGGCCTCTGCTGGGTGGAGGAAGCATTTGATGCGCGTTTACGACGCCTGCTTCTGGAGCACGAAAATGGCTTTCTTGTTTCCTGGAATCAGAAGCAAAGTTAGAAATTATACTTCCAGGGGCGCCTGGGGGGCTCAGCCGGTTGAGCCCCCAACTTGGGCTCGAGTCATCATCTCACCATCTGTGAGTCCGGGCTCTGCGCTGACGGCTCGGAGCCTGCTTCGGATTCTGGGTCTCCCTCTCTGTGCCTCCCCAACTCACGCTCTGTCTGTCTCTCTCTCTCAAAAATAAATAAACATTTAAAATAATATAAAATTTAAGGGGCACCTGGGTGGTTCAGTCAGTTAAGCGTCTGACTTCGACTCAGGTCGTGATTTGATCTCACAGTTTGTTAATTCGAGCCCCACACTGGGCTCCCTGCCGTCAGCACAGAGCCCGCTTTGGATCCTCTGTCCCCCCCTCTCTCTGCCCTTCCCCTGCTCATGCTGTCTCTTTCAAAACTAAATAGACATTGGGGCGCCTGGGTGGCTTAGTCGGTTAAGCGTCCGACTTTCGCTCAGGTCGTGATCTCGCGGTTCGTGGGTTCGAGCCCCGCGTCGGGCTCTGTGCTGACTGCCAGCTCAGAGCCTGGAGCCTGTTTCAGAGTCTGTGACTCCCTCTCTCTCTGACCCTCCCCTGCTCACGTTGTCTCTCTCTCTCTCCCAGAAATAAATAAAACATTAAAAAAAAAAAACTAAATAGACATTAAAAAGTAAGAAATATACAAATAAATTTAAAAAATAAAGTTTACTTAGCTTTGAGAGAGAGCGTGCACGTGAGTGGGGAGGGGCAGAGAGAGAATCCCAAGCGGGCTCTGCACTGTCAGCGCAGAGCCTGACTCCGGGCTGGAGCTCATAAACCACGGGAGCACGACCTGAGCCGAAATCCAGAGTTGGACGCTCAACTGACTGAGCCACCCAGGTGCCCCAAGCTACTGCTTTTATTATCATTGCCTTTATACGGGAACCCAGAGGCACAGAGGGGTGACGGCCACACAGCTGCTGGGAGGGGAGTCCAGACCCAAGTTGAGCCTTACCCTCTGAATCACTTTGCTCCATGTCCGAATAGCCTGTTTCCACATCCTCATTAGAGAGCACTTCCTGGTTTTTCTAAAGCCACCTCTTCTCTCCTGCCCCCAACCGGACAGGAATTTATGGCTCCTGTCCTTGTTAAACTAAACAACTTCTCTGAGTGATCTCATCCACTTCTCTCACCTAAACCCCCGGCTGGGACACCCTCTCCCTCCTGGGCATCGCCCCGACCCCATGGCCGGGTATCCCAACTAATGTGCTAACTCACTGCTCTGTCTTTCCCCGGGGCCACAACCCACCCATCATCCTTGACCCCATGTCTAAGGGGTCCCCGTGTCCCGTTCACTTGTTACATGACTCTTGAATCTACCACCTCCTCTCCAGTCTTGTCTCTCTTTCCCCGGGCCGAACACGTATGGTTTTTCTCTGGGCCTCTGCTTCAGCCTCCTTGCCTCCCATATACCTTCTCGTGACTCTCCCTGGGAGTCAGCGCTGGCCATGTCACTCCCCTGCCAATCCAGAGTTCCCACACCTCTCAGTAAGCCCCAGGACCCTGAGCCTGGCTGTCAAGGCCCTGGGGCTCGGGCTGTCCCCCCATCTCCCACCTGAGACCCCGCCCACTGCTCAGAACAACACCGTTCCGGGACGCCTGGGTGGCTCTGTGATTAAGCGTCCAACTTAGGCTCAGGTCATAATCTCACCATCATGGGTTCGAGCCCTACATCAGGCTCTGTGCTGCCTGCCGGTGCAGAGCCTGCTTGGATTCTCTCTCTCTCCCTCTCTTTCTGCCCCTCCCCTGCTCACACTCTCTCTCTCTCTCTCTCTCTCTCTCAAAATGAATAAACTTTAATGAAAAGAATGCCATCATTCCACACACCTGCCCACCTCACCTGTGCGCACTGCGTGGGGCGCCCACACACGCCACTCAGCTCCTTGCCTACCAGTCACGTTCACCCCTACCCAGCAGCGCCCCCAGCTGGTTAGATGCCCCCCACCCCCCCCACCCCCGTTCTGCTGCTGGGCATCCGTAGGGTTTTATCATTGTAAACTCGTGTCTTTTTCCCTGACTCCACTCCAGTATCAAGAGAATAGAGACAGTACTATCCTGTTCATCTGCCTCACTGCCTGGCATGATCTAGGTGCTCAATAAATGTTGGTTGAATGAATGAGTGAATGGGTAAGTGAATGCTGCGTGAATGTCAGATAATATTACAGGCAGTCTGTTTTTTTTTTTTTTTTGGTTTCAGGAGTAGAATTTAGTGATTCATCACTTACATATGACACCCAGTGCTCATCCCAACAAGTGCCCTCCCTAATGCCCATTACCCATTTAGCCCTTACCCTGCCTAAGACCCCTGCAGTAACCCTCAGTTTACTCTCTGTATTTTTTTTTTATAAATAGTTTATTGTCAAATTAGTTTCCACATAACACCCAGTGCTCATCCCCACAAGTGCCCTCCTCCATGCCCATCCCCCCCTCCCCCCCACATCCATCAGTCCTCAGTTTTTGTCAGCATTCAAGAGTGTCTCATGGTTACAGGCAGTCTGTTTAAATGCAACTTCACAAAGGTACCAAAATCCAGACCAGTAGTTCTTTCTTGGATCCTTCCTATACGTTTTGAGGTGAACAGGGCAGAGTTCTCGTTTTCTAGAAATGAAAACCAAGTCTCACAGAGGTGATGACTTCTGTGACTCAGGCTGCAGGGGCAGGCTTGGAGCCCGGTTCTTTCGGTGTGTGTGCTCGGGAGCCGTTCTGTGTTTCCAGGAGGTGAGGGCGTGTAGCCCGCGAACACGTGCTTGGCTTCTCTCTCACCAGCAACACGGAAGCGTGTACTGGAAGGCAGGGGCCAGCCAGGTGCTGACAAGCCTGTCGCCAGACCTCCCGCTGCATAAGCAGCTGCAGGTACGGTGGCCGCGTTGCGGAGTCTGAGAACATTCCGTAGGGTGGGAGGAGGACGCAGGCCCCTGCCGGCCCTGAAGTCTGGGGCTGTTGTGCTGGTCAAGGGTGTCGAGCTTGGCTGGGGCCATGGGGGTTTGAACACGGACTGCCCTGCCCCCCCGCGGGTATCCCTGGTGTCTGAACAGAGGATGGGGTCCCAGCATCGAGGGTCCCTTCCGGTCCTGACCTTCCTGGGGGGGGGGTCTCCCGGAGGGGGGCAGGCAGCCTCCCAGTGCTGGGAAGGCGGGCTCGGCCTGCTCCACTGTCCAGGCTTCAGATGCCCCTGTGACACTGCCCTTTCCCGTTCCTGCCCCCCCCTCCCCTGGGTGTTGCCTGCGGTGCTCAGATTTCCTTCTTAGAACCTTCTTAGAACCTTCAGCCCTGAGCTTTCCCGGGAGAGACCGCACTGAGCCGGGCCAGGGTTCGTGCAGGAAGGCCTTGCCTGTGGTCTTCTCGGCCACGTGCAGGGAGGAGGTGCCCGCCCGCCGCCATGACCCGCGTGGCCGCCAGAGTCGGCGGGCGCCGGTCCAGCCCTGCCTCGGTTCGCCCCGCCAGGCCTGCTTCTCTGTCCGCGACAGCCCAGTGTGGATGGACGCCAGCACCGCAGCCCAGTGCCGCCGGCTGGAGGCCGCCGTGGGCGGCGCACGGGCTCTCAGCCGCCTCACCGGCTCCCGGGCCTACGAGGTGCGCCGCGCCTGCCACAGGCTTGGGGGGGCTGGGGGTCCGGGCCAGGGGTTGGGGTCGGGGCTCAGGGCCAGGGATCAGGGTCTGGGATGGGGCCAGGGGTCGGGGATCAGGCTGGGGGTCGGGGATCGGGGCCGGGGATCAGGCCCGGGGATCAGCCCGGGGGTCGGGGCCGGGCCGGGAGGAAGGCCGGCCCCAGCTTTCCGGCCCCTTCTCCCGGGCGTCTGGGAGGACGCAGGCGCGGACGTGCCCCAGGGGAGCCCCGCCGCTCCGGTGGGCGCTGTGCCCGCTGCCCTTGCCCCAGGAGGAACGGGGTGGGGAAATGCCCAGGGAAGGTGCCCCTGGGGGTGGGGGGCCGGGCTGATCCCTGAAGGGTGCCCGGCGGACGTTTCTGGGTCTGAGGCTGCCCGAGAACTTGCATCTCCGAAGGCCCAGCACATGCCGTGCCCACGAGGCCATCAGGCCACACAGGACACGGAGTTTTAAGAATTTGCGCTCTTTCCACAGCGATTCACGGGAAACCAAATCGCGAAGATTTACCAGCAGCACCCCGAGGCCTACTCACGCTCGGAGGTTGGTTCCACGCCCCTGTTTGATTTCACTCACACTTGAATTCCCTTTACCTTTAGTGTAAGTACATCTCGTGTGCGGTGGCCCAAAGCGTCGATTCGCAGACACTGAAAATGATGTGTTCAGTTTTGCTTATTTCTCACTGTCCAGATGTGTCCAGAGAGGAGGACAGAACGGAGTCTTGGGAAAGAGAAGTCAGGGCCTCTCCTGACCCCAGGGTCAGAGGGCAGGGCAGGGTGGGAGCCGTGGGGACTGGTGTCTTCCTCGGGCCCCGAGTAGCAGATCGAGGTGCCCTTCGGGCTCTGTCTTCTCTGCTCCCTGCATGTCGGTGGCTGCCGGCCCTTGGCTGGTGTGGACTCAGTGTTGTCTCTGGAAACGCGGAAACCAGGGCCTGTGTCCCGGGGACCCCGAGCCACTCCTTGACGCACACTTGCTGAGAGCTGGCACTTAGTGCCGCCTGAGCAGTAGCCTGACGCCTTGGCTAGTGATTTTCGTCTCTGAATAGTTAGAAAACGATCAGCCCGTGTTCGACCTAAGTGCTTTTTTCATCTTGGAAGCTAACAGCCTCGGTTTATCATTGAAGGACTCAAGGTTCCAGATTACTCTGCAGCACCTGCCGTGTAGATTTTGGGGAGGGGGCGGAAGGGCTGAGATGTAAAACCCTCTCCAAATTCTGTGTGTGGAACAGAGGTGGCCTGAGGGGGGACAGGCGGTGCTGGCATTCTCTGCATGCGCCAAGACCCATGATTCTGCTGTGGAAGCATGAAATCCACTCGCAGCCCCCCAGCTGCTGCAGGCCTGTCTCACTTACGCTGCTCTGAACCCCGAGAGTGTCTTCGTTGGATCTGAGTCCTGTGGCCGTAGATAGAAAGGCCCTGTGACTTGCGCGTAAGGACCACAGGCACGGACGACGGCGGTCGGGCCCCGTCCTTCCTGGATGGCGGGTGGAAGAGCCACTTCCCGTGGCTTTTCTGCTTTGTCGGACTTGACAGTTTTCTGGCCGGACAGAAACTGCAGAGCCAGGTGCTGCCCCAGGGCCTTGGTGTTCCGGATGCTCACGCTCCAGGGTCCTGGAAAGTCAGTCACTGCCATTACCGGGCACCTTGCCCAAAGGTGCCACTTCCCTCCTCAGTTGAAAACTCTCGTGTTCTGTGCACCAGAAGGTTTGGTGGCTTATGGAAATGAGTCCTAGCTCGCTGTTTCTTCCTTTTGCAGAGAATTTCTTTGGTCAGTAGCTTTGCGGCCTCCCTATTCCTTGGGTCGTACTCCCCTATCGACTGCAGTGACGGTAAGCCTTCAGGGCGCTGGGGCCTCTGCTGGGTGTGGGCGTGTGGGGCTGTGGGCAGCACGAGCCCCACCCGCCCGGCTGGGTGCCAGTCCGTTAGCCCTGTCACCTGTTGCCAAGAAGGGAGCACATTAGTTACCTTTTGCTGTGGAACGGACGCCCCGGTGCGTAGCAGCTGAGGCCACGGGTGTTGATGTCGCACAGAATTTCCGCAGGTCCCTCATCGGGCAGCCGCTCAGCTGGCTCGCATGGCCCACGAGCTCTGATGGATGCGGGCGTTCCGGCTGGCCACCGCAGCCAGTCCTGTAAAGGCTTGACTGGGGCCGGGGGACCCACTTCCAGGGCTCTAGACATAACCGGTTTGAGGCCTCTGTTCCTCTCCCCGGGCGCCTCCCGTAGGACCACTCACGAGGCTGTGGCTGGGTCCCCGCCCCAGCGAGGAGGGAGGGGAGTGCGGCCAAGCAGAGGCTGCAGAATCTCTTACGCCTCCGTCTTGGGGGTGACATACTGCCACTTCTGACCCACGCTCCGGGTCGCACAGACCTACCCAGGTGCAGGAAGACGGGGACCCCGCAAGGCGTGAACAGCCGGGCTCAGGGAGGGGCGGTGGCCATCGCAGAGCCCAGCTCCCACCAGGAGTTGTTTCTTGGGGAACTCGAGCGCTTGTGGAGTTCAGAACCTTGGCAGAAATAACTGCTGGTGATGCCAGCGAGGCAGGGAGGCGGGGGCACAGGCTGCCACGTGAGGCCCGGCCGCCCGGAGAAGAGGGGCCAGGCTGCAGAGCAGGCGCCCGGCCCCGTGAACGCGGCTTTGGTGGAGTCGTGGGGCGCCCACAGCCTCCTGGGGCTCCGTCTGGAGCGTCCCAGTGCTGTCGTGGGCCGGCCGTTACCCCGTGTTCGGGGAGACAGAGCTGGTCCCCCAGCCTCGCTCACCATCTGGAGAGGAGAAGGCAGCACGGAGCAGTGAGACCAGCGGAATGTAAACCTGGAATGGCCTGTGTGCGCTCGAGGGGGCCGCACGTCCCCGTTCCCACGTCACCCCTCCCGGGGCCGTCCGGAGGCTCGCGCCCTTCAGCCTCGGCCGCCTGCGAGGTCACCCCTAACTACCCGCCGACCGACCTCCTCCCCTGGGTGTGTGACTCCGGCAGCGTCCCCGCCCCCGTCTGTCGGCCTCCACCTGGACCCGGGGGAGAAGGAAGACCCCCCCCGCCTCCGCCGAGCGCTGCTTGCGTCCCCCTTGCCGTCCTCAGGCTCCGGGAAGCCTCGGGAGCGGTTTCAGACACACGTCGTGAGTTGATCTCCCTGCTTCCCTCGAAAAGTTATATGCGACCCGCATCGGCCCAGGGCTCCTCCGAGCAGACACCATGAGCCCAGGGGACGGGGACACGAAGACCGGTTCCCAGTCTGTGTGTCGTCGGCTGTCAGGGCCGCAGATTTCCGGGCTCACGGTGGAGCGCCAGCCCGTGAGGACTGTCTGGAGGAGGTGGCCCCGCCGACCCTGCGTTCGCACGCGGTGTACTCGCCGGTGGGAGAGGCCCGAGTGCGAGTTGCCTGCGGGACGGCGCTCGGCCGGCTGCCACGTTTGTGCGTTTTCCCGGAGGGTCGTTTTTAAAGACGTCCCTGTTTCTTGCTTCCTCTGTTCCTTAGGTTCTGGGATGAACTTGTTGCAGATCCAGGACAAAGTGTGGTCGCGGGTCTGCCTTGCCGCCTGCGCGCCTCGCCTGGAGGAGAAGCTCGGCTCACCGGTCCAGTCCTGCTCCGTCGTGGTAGGTCCTCGCAGAGCGGGGGGCGGCCGGGGCGGCGGCCGGGGCCGGCGGGGGCGGGCGGGGGGCGGCCGGGCGGCCGGGGTCGGCGGGGGTCAGCGGGGGCGGGCGGGGCGGCCGGGGGGTGGCCGGGGCGGAGCCTTGCCCTCGGCCGGTGCTCAGGGGCAGGGGCCTGACGGCCTCGCGGCGGTGAGGCCTGGGGTGGGGACTTCGGGAGGCTCCCCTGGGAACGTACCAGAGTTGGAGGCACGTGGAAGGGGTGAGTTGTGGGCGGCGGCAGACTTTAGGAGAAAATACACAGGGTGTTGGAATTCCAGGGCCAGGAGCGCCTGCGAGGCCGGAGGGAGGCAGAGGGCGGGGGAAACACCAAGAAACGCCGGCGAGCCGACCGAGCGAGTCCCCGGCGCCAGATCGCCCAGGCTGGAATCTCTCTGTGCCACTCCCCGGCTCTGTGGCTTTAGCCTGTGCCTCAGTTTCCCCGCCATTTCTGTCGTTCCTGAAGGAAGGCGAATCGTGATACTTTCTGTGCTGTCAGACTGACGTGCAGAATAAAGAAGTCGATGCATTTAACGTTTATTTATCTGAGGGAGAGAGAGCGAGCTCAAGCAGGGGAGGGGGAGGCGGAGAGGGAGGGTGAATCCCAAACAAGCTCCCTGTGGTTAGCACGGATGCCGACGAGCCCACGGACGAGATCAGGGCCAGCTGAGCCCCCCGGGCCCCGGAAGCGAGCTGATGCGCTGCAGGTGCTCGGGGTAGTACTTGTTCCCGGGGGCGGCGCGGAAAGCACTCAGGGCAGCCTCGTGGGAAGCAGGGAGCCGGCCAGTCTCGCACCAGACACAAACATGCACTCAGGGGTCAGACTCGAATGGAAGACCTGAGAGCGTGAGGCGCCTAGAAGGAAACAGGTGTTGTGATGACTGTTAGGATTTGATACCGAGTGCGTAGGCAAGAAAGCAGCAAGTGGGACCACGTCAAACTTCTAAACTTCTGCGCAAGGAAAAGCATCGGCCAAACAGAGAGGCCGGGTTCCTGGCTTGCTCGGTTCAGCCTCTGACTCTTGGTTTCGGCCAAGGTCACGATCTCAAAGTTCAGTTCGTGATTTTGAGCCCCTCCCCTGTGTTGGTCCAGAGCCTGCTTGGGATTCTCTCTCTCCCTCTCTCTCTGCCCCTCCCCTATGCGCACTTTCTCTCTCTTTCTCTCTCTCAAAGTAAATAAATACACTTAAAAAAGCCAAAAAGGCAACCAATGGGATGGGAGAAAATACTTAAAAATTACATACCTGGGCACCCCTGGGGGCTCAGTCGTTAGGCGTCCGACCTCAGCTCAGGTCATGATCTCGTGGTTGGTGAGTTCGAGCCCGGCGTCGGGCTCTGTGCTGACAGCTCGGAGCCTGGAGCTGCTTCAGATTCTGTGTCCCCCCCACCCCCCGTGCCCCTCCCCCACTCATGCTCTGTCTCTTTCTCTCAAAAAATAAATGTTAAAAAAAGTTTTTTAAATTGTATATCTGATAAGGAGTTAGTATCCAAAACATCTCAAAAACTCCCGCAATTCCATAGCAGAAACCGAGACGGTGTGATTGACATTTAACTGTTAGCACAACACCCTGACACCCCCATTCGGAACCCTCGCTGCCTGGCGTTCTTGCCTCGGGTTCCCCAAGTTCACTGACTGGTTCTTGGCTGTTCTGTGGGGAGAATGGAACAGGGAGCCCTGGGCCCCGCCCTCAGGGGCCCCCGGGGCGCATCGCACACATTCAGGACAGCCGGTGGTGCAGGGTGTGGGTTAGAAGGCGAGGGTCCCTGAGGCCTGGGGAGGGGGGGGGTCCTTGAGGACCAGGCTCCCACTCGTGCTGCCCCATCAGAGTCCCGGCCACAGAAGCACTTCTGTGAGGTTAGCACCGAGGCGCAGGGCTTAGGGAGGGGTGCCCCCCGCCTTGGAAGGGGACAGAGTGCGGAGGCAGGCGTAAGGAAGGCGGCAGGAAGCAGCAGCCTCTGGGTCGGTGTGCCCAGCGGGCTCCTGGCTTTGTGTCAGAGGCCGGTGTTTTGTCCTCGGCCACAGGCCCTGTTTGCCTCGTGCGGGGAGCACACGCCTCCAAGAGGGAGCGCGAGCAGCTGGAGGAACGGAAGAGACGCGATTCGGGAAAGCGCGTTTTCGCCTGTGCCGTGCGCACCCCCGCACGGGGGGACGGGGGCCCCGGGCTCCCAGCCTCCCTCTGGGAAGGTAGTGACCAGACGGCTTTTGCCTTTGCTGCGGGCGGCTGTCCCCGGACAGACGTGCCGGACAGTCCCCCACCCCGCCTCGCCGCCTCCTAACCCGTGTGTCCGGCCAGCGTCACCTGGCACCGGCTGGGTCTCGTTTCCCGCCCTTTCCGCCCTGCGCTTCTGAGGCTCCGAGCTTGTGCTTTGCAAACCCGAGGTCAGGGAGTCAGCCTCCCATGGGACACCCTTTCCCGGCGGGGCCGCGGGGGGTCTGCTCCTCGTGCCGTCCCCGGGCGGACACCCCCCGGCCCTTTACACACAGACGCTGCCCACGGTGGCGACAGCTTGACAGCGTGCCCGTGGGTGCCCTCTCGCCCCTCCCCCTTCCCCTCTCGTTTCCTGGGGTCTGCCCAGGAAGACATTTCTCTCCCAGGAGTCGGCTTATTCCGATGTTAATCTGAAGTTTTGCTAGAAGGAGCAAAATGTTCTTTCTAGACCCCCAGGAAAACCTATCATTTATTTTAAGCTTTTGGAACTAACATAAAGCCAGGGAAAGGGGAAAAAAAGTTTCTCTTTTGTAGCTGTTTCCTGAAGGCTGTGGGTCTGTCCAGAGGGTGTCCCCGCTATCTGGTCTCACAGCCCTTGGGGGAGCCTGGGGGCCGTGCTTCCCAGGGGAGCTCCCCCCTCTGCACTGCCGTTTTCTGGTTTATTTTCTTTAGAAGGTTGACCTCTGCATTTGCATGTTTGATTATTCTTTTTTTTCAATGTTTATTTTGATAGAGTGTGTGTGCAAGTAGGGGAGGGGCCGCAAGAGAGGGATAGAGAGGATCAGAGGCAGTCAGCACAGAGCCCGACGTGGGGCTCGGACTCTGGAACCGTGAGATTGTGACCTGAGCCGAAGTCGGACGCTTAGCTGACTGAGCCCCCCAGGCGCCCCGCGTGTCTGATTATTCTTAGATATCCGGACTGATGGAGCGAGTGTGTAAGGCATGGTGTCTTTCCACTCGTTGTTTAGTTACCATTAATGCTGTACCAGAATTTGGAGCTTACAGAAAAAGTACAGGTCGGGGATCGATTTACTCGAGCTGCCTCTCAAAATGCAGCGGTGTTCACAGCGGTGGGATGACCTGATACTTGCGGTTCCAAGCCTGCGCTGGGCTCCTCTGGCTTTTTGTGAACGGGAGGGACAGCCCTGGTTTGCAGCAGGAGCGACGCGCGTGCGGCCCAGGGACCTGGGGCTCACAGCATCCCTGCGACCCGAGGTTTGGACGGCCGTGACCAGGGGGGCTTGCCTGAACAGGACACGCTTGCCTCTCCTCCTCAGGGAGCCGTTTGTCCCTACTACGTCCAGCGCTACGGATTTCCCCCAGGGTGCAAAGTGGTGGCCTTTACTGGGGACAACCCAGGTGAGTACCTCGGAAGATGGCACTTTCCGGGTAGCCTGACTCGGTCCACTGGAGCACGTCAGTCAGCCCAGCCTCTCCTTCCTCCCTGCCCCTCCTTGGCTCTGACTCTGTCTTCTGGAGCCACTGATGCCCCCCCCCCACCCCCAGGTGAGAACTGATCAGTGGTTAGAGAAGGGAGTCCTGTCCCCTCCACCCCCCACCCCTGCAACTAACTGCCTTTTCTGTTCCAAGCTAAACCTCTCCGTTCCTCCTGCCTTCCTCCGGGACATGGTTTGGGGCTCCTCCCCATCATTTGATCTATGGGCACGAATCACTCCTCATCCAAACACCTTCCCCTCCCCCAGCCGCTCTGGAGGGGTCATCAGGTCTCTGATGAGAGGCCGGTGGTGACCCTGTACCACCAGATGCTGCCCTGCAGCCCCGCCCCCCTGCAGCCCTTTTCCTCTCGAGCCCCGAACTGGGATCGCCGGGTAGACACAGGCGCAGGTGCGGCGCCCCGCGTGAGCCAGAGGGACCACCGATGACAGTGGGTGTGAGCGCGTCCCACCCGGCGCTTGTACTCCACTAGCCGCAAACCACCTTTCAGCAAAGTACGTCCGGAAGCGCGTTGGTCCGAGACGCAGGTGTGACTGAGCGCCCTGCAGCCTGTCCGGCAGCCCCGCGCTGACCCGTCCGGGGCTCCTGCTCTCAGGAAGCGGGTGCCCCGTGGTGGCCGGGGGCCTGGGCTGCGGCCCCGAGGGCCGACCTCCCCGTGTCGGAGCGTGCGCGCTCTGTCCTGCTTCGCCCTCCTCGGCAACACCTCTGTTTCCTGGTGTTTCCAGGCCGCAGCCTCCTTGCGCTTTCCACGCCCCGTCGCCTCCTGTTGCTGTGTGGACTCGCGGGACGTGAGCGTCCCGATACGTGGAGGCGCGTCTGTCTAGGCGTGTAGCCGATGGCCCTGTTGACGTTCATTCGTAACACGCGTGGTTACGCCATCGGCCTCCGCGCTCTCCGCAGCGTCTGTGTGTTGGGATGAGGGAGACGCGTAAGCTGCTGTCCCTGCAGCCAGCGCCGCACGCGTCCCCAGCGAGCCCCCGGCCTTGGTCTCTGCCGCTGAGGCGGCAGCTCCGGTGTCCTCGCTGCGACCCCTCCCTCCCGGGACAGCGTGGCTCTGGTGTCGGGGGGTCCCAGGAGCCAGCCCTTCCTGGCCCTGAGCGGCTTCTGTGGGCCATCGTGCGCGGCCGCGTTCTCAAAGCACGGAACCACACGGAGGCTTTGGAGGACGGATCCCGTGACCCCAGTCCAACCGGGAAGGGGAGGCGGCGGCTGGTGGACAGCGGCCGGACCCCCGCGGGGCGAGGCGTGGAGCCCCAGTGTGCGTGTGCTGCTGCGCAGGGTCCCAGGGGCCCCGGGGCCCAGTCCCGTCAGCCCTGACAGTTGGGAGGTTTGCCTCCCCGAACGGAAATAACCTCACGGAGCCTCGTGAGGCAGTGTACGTTCTCGAACCTCCTTCATCAGCTAGAAGAATGTCAAGGGGAGGAATGGGCCTTTGAAGCCCTGGAGGGGGCATGTGTGAGCAGGAGAGACAAAGCAGCAGCTTCCGGTCCTTCCCCCGGGACCCCGGTTTCAGGCTGCATGTTGGAGACCCCAGGCAGGTGGCCCTCAGTCGGGTCCTCGCGAAGTCTGACCCCCGGTCTGCTGCTGCTGCGAGGGCCACAAGCAGACAGGCTCATGGAGGCTTTGCTCTTTCGTGCAAGGGAAGCCTCTTCGCCGCGGGAAACACGTTTTCAATACTGACAAACCAAAGGAAGGATGCAGAGATCATCCACAGTCCCTTAACCCAGAGACACCGGCGGTTACAGTCTTGATGGTGGCCCTCCCAGCTTGCTCTCTGCGCACAGGGAAACATGTTCTAACTCACCTGGGCGGGATTTCCGTGCAGCGTCACTTTAACGGTTGCCTACGGTCCAGTCGGCCCACACCTACTTCCCCAGTCCCTTACGGTGGAGGCTTGTGGCGTTTTGGGACACTGTCCTGTCCCTTGTCCCCTTCGGACAGGTCAGAGGGAGGGCTCCCGGCCCCCGGCCTCTGACGCACGTGGCTGTTGTGCTCAGCAGACGGGACCGAGTGCCCCCGTCCTTCCCCCCGCTCCCCTCACTCGCGTGTTCACTCAGTCACTCGACATTTAGGGAGCGCCTACCGCGTTCAGACCTTCTTTCAGCTCCTCGGTACGTCAGTGAGCAAGGCAGGCAAGAGTTGCTCTTAGGGACCTCATGTCTGAGGGGGACGGACGGTCCCCTTTACCTTCTGCTCAGGCGGAAGGAGGCCCCACCCCCTGCTCACCTTCGTCTGTCTCGTACATTGTATCCTGGTGACTTGGGCCCCTGGGTTCTGAGCACCCTTGGGAGCAGCGACGGTGGGGAGTTTGGGGCCTTTTAGCAGAGGCTGGGAAGCGTGACCACAGAGACTCTGCCCTCTGACCCCTGGGACCCTCCCTTGGGCCATCCTGAGCCCTCAGCTCCCCCTGTTCCCTCCTCGACCACAGCATGTGGGTTGTGGCGGGAGGTAGGGCCGCCACCGGGGGGTGACTGGGGTCTGCCCTGTGGCTCCGTGTGAGCTCCGGCTAACCAGAGCCTCCCCCCCCCCCCAGCGTCGCTGGCAGGCATGAGGCTGGAGGAAGGTGACATTGCGGTAAGGTGACTTCTCACACGCGGGCCGAGCCAGCTCTGAGTCCCCGGGGGCACCCTTGCTGCCTGTTAGAGGGTCTGTTGGTCCCGAAAGGCAGCGGAAGGAGGGACAGGAAGACCCACCCCAGGACCTGCTCACATTTCCTCTCTTAGAAGCTCAGGCTTTGCTGAGCACACAGGTCCCCTTGACGGCGGCCGGTCTGCAGTGGCAGAAGGGTCAGGCCTGTCCTGGGTCTGGTGGGAGGTCCCTTGGGGAACCCTCAGTGACCCAGGCCGTTTGTTAGACGCGGTTGCGGTCACGTTCTAAGAAATTGGCCTGCGGTTTCCAGGAGACCCTGAATCTGGTTGCTAACCTTGGACTTACCGTGTGGGAGGGTCAGAAGGGGTTCTCCGAGGAAGGGGCATCTAACCTGGGGTCTGCAGCGTGAGGAGTGGAGTGACGGGGGTCAGGGCCGGTACAGCTGGGCCGGGAGCCGCCTCATCTCCGCCCGTTTCTCCCCAGGTCAGCCTGGGCACCAGCGACACCCTGTTCCTCTGGCTCCAGGAGCCCAGGCCCGCCCTGGAAGGGCACATCTTCTGCAACCCAGTTGACTCCCAGCACTACATGGCGCTTCTCTGGTAGGCTTGGGGGGAGGGGGCGGGGGCAGCTCTGGCCCTTCTGGAGCCCTCAAGTCATTCTGCCCGGAGCTGAGACCCCGCGACTCCCTGGGTCTCGGACAGCGGAGCTGGGTGGGAAGAGCCCAGGATCTGGAGTCCTCCCCAAACCTGGACTCCAACCCCATCCTCGGCGCCTGTATCCCGTGTGGCCTGGGGCGGGTGCTGTAGCTCGTGTGAGCCACGCTTTGCTCCTAAAACGGGGAGAATAAAGGGGGCACTTCGCAGAGCCATCATGACGTGTCTAGCGCTCGGTTCACCTTCAGCAAGTGGTAGGAAGGGCCCCCTGGCTCCTGACAGTTGTCATGGAGGACGTGTGCCCTGCACCCTGACCGCAGCCCTTCGGAAACCCGCCGGAAGCTACTCAGGGAAGTCTCTGAGCCTTTAGGCCCCAGGAACCATTGGCAAATACGTGGGTCTGTTTCACTTAGCCAGCTCTGTTCCACCGTCCAGATGGTATGGTGTGTAGAAAACACAGCTCCCCGCCTCTCCCTGGCGTGCCTCCGTGGCAACCCCCAGAGCCCAAGACCAGTGCATTTCCCGATGATTCGGAGGGACCTTTGCTGGGCCTGATGCCCGAGGGAGAACCTCAGATTCTCTGCCATTCACTGGTTGGGGCTTGTGGTCCAGCCTGACCCGCAGCCCTTCTACCTCGGAGTCTTCACCAAAACACATGGGTGCGGTCAGCAAGCGCCGGGTCCCTCCCTCAGAGGTGTGTGCACTTCTGCAGCTTTAAAAATGGCTCCCTGATGAGAGAGAAGATCCGTGATGAGTCAGCTTCCTGTTCCTGGAGTGAGTTCTCCGAGGCGCTGCGGTCCACGGAGATGGGGAACGGCGGGAATCTGGGTAGGCTGTGGGCGATGCCTGGGTCTGTGAAGGGCAGCAGTCGGGGCAGGAGGGGCAGGGCCTGGGGAGACGGGGGCCGCGGGGAAGCCAGGGGAGCCCAGCCGGGCCGCCCAGACGAGTGTGAGCCCCTGGTCTGAGTGAGGGCAGCCGTTCTCCGTGCCTCCAGCGGAAGGCGGGGCCGCAGCCGCATCTCTGTCCCGCGCAGAGGCCCTGGTGACGCAGCCCCGGCTCCCGCCCTGCCCCGTCGGGCCCCGCGCGGAGCTCTCACCCCCAGATGCAGGCTGCTGAGAGGAAACGTGCCCGGTGTTGGGGCCGGCCTTCCCAGCAGGGAGGGGCCGCGTCTCCCTTGATCAAACCCGGCTGGTTTTCAGGGCTGCTTGGGCAGCGGCCTCCGGCCTGGGCCGCCAGGTGAGAGTAGGAAGCCCCGTCTCTAAGAAAATGTTGCTTGCAGGGGCGCCTGGGTGGCTCAGTCATTAAACACCCATCTCAGCTCAGGTCATGATCTCACGGTTCGTGGGTTCGAGCCTCGCGTCGGGCTCTGTGCTGACAGCTCAGAGCCTGGAGCCTGTTTCGGATTCTGTGTCTCCCTCTCTCCCTGACCCTCCCCTGTTCACGTGGTGTCTCTCTTGCTCTCTCTCTCTCAGAAATAAATAAAACATTAAAAAAAAAAAAGAAAAGTAAAAGAAAATGTTGCTCTGGTCCTCCCTGTCCCCCGAACTCCTGGGAGACACTGAGGGGGGTCGTTTCACCCTGCTCTCGTCTAAGTCTTTGAGAAGCTTATCTTTTGTATTTGATTCCTGACAGAGAATCTCCTCTTGGTCTCGTTTCAGGGTTTTATTTTGACGTAATGGAGATCACCCCTGAAATTATTGGGCGCCATAGGTTTAGTGCAGAAAACCGCAAGGTATGTGTGCTATTGGTATTGGAGAGAAATTGGCTCCGTTTCTGAGTACTACGTTTAATGATCGCCTGTCAGATTCTGCCGCTTTAGGGACTCCTGCATTTACTCATCTATTGCTAGAGCAAAGGTGGGTTTATTTAATTATTTAATTTACTTTGAGACAGAGCGCCAGCGAGCGGGGAGAGGCACAGAGAGGGGGAGAGAGGGAATCCCAAGCAGGTTTCGCTCTGTCGGCGTGGAGCCTGACATGGGGCTCGAACCCAGGAACTGCAACGTCGTGACCCGAGCAAGTCAGACGCTTAGCTGACTGAGCCACCCAGGCGCCCCTCGAGCAAATGTGTTTGATGTGCCAGAATGCATTGTAGTGCCAAGAAATCTGCAGGGTTGAGGCAGACGCGCCTACAGAGCGGAGGGCAGGCCGCCTGGGCGTTTTCCCCGGAGCCAGCCCTGTGCACGCTGACTGCCACCAGGAGTCGTGGACTGTTGTGCCCGGGCAGACCTCACCCTGCACCCCAAGGACTCATGTCTCCACATCAGGAATCCCTTCCCGATTGGAAGCCTCTGGGACAGGAGGCACTACCGTTTATCGAGTGCTGTTTAGCTCCAAGCACCGTGCGGTGCTTTCCTATGTCCCGCACCTACTGCTCAAGCACCTTGAGGTTCAGAGAGGCTACCTCGTGGGCCCGAGTCACCAGGGCCTGGGCGGTGGAGGGGGGCCTCCAACCCCAGTCCCCTCGGCCCTGAAGCTGCTGTTTTGTTTCCCCTGCACCCCGCGGCCTTTCCTAGGTGGGGTCCGTAAGCCACTCTCTGTGTAGCAACAGTTGCAGAGTTGGCGTTGGGTTTGTGGCTGACGAAGTCGTTCTGTATTGGGCCGTCGGGAAAGCTTTCTAGACCCACAGAGGGAGGGAGCTCATCTCAGTTTTCTGATGAAGGGTTGGAGAAGATTCAGAGAAGATAGGCCTGTTCCCTTTTCCATAAACCAGGGCTGTCGGGGAGAAGGTAGGGCCTGTATGGTCACAGGGGCCGCGGCACGGGCGGGGCTTGGGTGGCCCCATCAGCAGCGGCCCGAAGGACGCTCGCAGCCGCGGGCGCTCACTTAGCGAGTGTCCAGCGCCTAGACCAGGCTCTGTCGTCTGGGCTGATCGTTACAACCACCCTGACGCACGGGGGCCCCTGTTACCTCAGTTTTGTTTAGAAGATGAAACCCAGAAGGGTCTACGTGACTTACGTGAGGTCGCAGAGCTGGACCCTTGGCGGCCTGACACTAGCTCTCTGATGCTCTGTTTGTCCACAGCGAGCATGCGTGAGGCTGGGAGTGTGGGTGTGAGCAGTGTGTGTGAGCGTGTGTGACAGGTGAGCCTCGCTGTGTGTCAGCCGCACTGGAGGTCTGTCTGTCTGTCTGTCTCTCTCTCTCTCTCTCTCTCACACACACACACACACACACACACACGGGGAAACGAGGGGTCTTCACTCAGTGCCTGCTTTCCCTTGGGCACAGGTGCCAGCGTTCCCCAGGGAGGTGGAGGTCCGAGCACTGATCGAAGGGCAGTTCATGGCCAAGAGGATTCATGCCGAGGGCCTGGGCTACCGAGTCAGTAAGTGAGCTGCTGCCGGGCTGTGTTCTGGGCCGGGGACCCCACACCCTGAGGTGCCTCAGACCCTTCCCGGCCTCCGGGCCGGGCCTCACAGGCTGGTTGCGGCTTCCTGGCCGGGGCAGGAGGGAGACGGAGCCTGGCCCCCGGGGCTGGGGAGCAGGTGAGTCAGCGAGCACCTCAGGCCTGCGGGACGAGGAGGCAGGCTAATCCGCCTTTCTGCTCCGTCCCCACGAGCCTGACCTCCTGCCGGGGAGCAGAGAAGTCCTGGGCACCCGAGGGGTGATGAGATAATGCCATCATCCCAGCCTTTAAAGCATTAAAAAAAAATTTTTTTTAATGTTTGTTTATTTTTGAGAGAGAGAGAGAGAGTGCAAGCAGGGGAGGGGCAGAGAGAGAGAGAGACACAGAATCCAAAGCAGCTCCAGGCTCTGAGCCATCAACACAGCCCGACGCGGGGCTCAAACTCACGAACTGCAAGATGATGACCCGAGCTGAAGTCAGACGCTTAACCGACTGAGCCCCCCAGGCGCCCCTGCCTTTGAAGCATTCTTGCGCAAAACCACCCGAGCTACTTACCCTCTTAGCAAGCCTGACGGCGGCTCTCAGACTGTCGCCCCCTCTGCTGGCTTCCTCCCAAATAGGGTCACATAAAGGAGCACGCTTGCCCCAGAAAGGGCTGCCCGGACGGGGGGCACCCTTCTCCGGCTGCGGTGCGGACTGACTCGCGTTGTTAGTGACCTGCAGGGCCACGTTCGTGAAGTCACCGTGTGACTGGGCGTGGCCGTCAGTTCGCGCCCCCGCATTGAGTGCTCCATCGCGCTCGGCTGCGGCCGACTCTCCTGCTCTGTGACTCTTTCCGGGTCAGCATATGAGCCGTGCTGCTGTCCCTCTTGTAAACGTCCCCGGCCGATTCTTCTTGATTTCGTCTCTCCTGTGTAGCAGGTATTGGTAGTAAACTGACAACCTGAGAACTTGTTGTGTGTGGTTAGCACAGTGTTTCGTGACTTAATCAAACACCTCTGCCCAAGCAGGTGCTGGTGCTGGGTACCCCAGCCTCGTGTGCTCAGTCACTCCCGTCTCTGGGCCCCGCGGGCGTTTCCGTTGCTGGCGCCTCTGAGCCTTAAAGGCTCTACTTCTTCTTCTAGTAACGAACGTGTGCGGTTCCAGCAGAGGGGGCGCCTGGGGGGCCGTCGGCTAAGCCCAGACCGCGGTCACACGGCCCCCAGGCTCGCTGCTCTCCGCGCGGAGCCCGCTTCAGACCCTCCCTCTCCCTCTCTCTCTGCCCCTTCCTCGCCCACGTGCGCTTGCGCACTCTTTCTCTCTCAAAAATTAACAAACATTAACAAATTTTTCAAAATAGATACTAACGTGTATTGCTTTTCATCTGTGCTTAGGATTTATATTTTATTCAGTAATTATATTTTCCACTGAAAGACATTATGTTCCCTTTCTTCTCTCCTCTCCTCTCCCCACTTTCCAGGTCCAGAACATTACTGTTCAGTGTGCGTTATGCATCAATAATTGCTTAAATTATACACTTGGCTGCTTTCTTTGATTACCACTATTCATTAGATCACACATCTAAGTGGTTTTGTATTTGTACTTCGTCTTTGCTTCAGGACGTCCTTGACTGTTCTTTCACGTAGAACTGTGGGGGATGGTCTCAGACTGTATGAAAATATTTTAATTTTGCCTTCACACTTAAATGTTATTTTTATAATATGTAAAATCCTAAGTTTCAAAAATCATATTGTCTTAGAGCTTTGAAAATAACGTTCTGGGGTGCCTGGGTGGCTCAGTCAGTTAAGCGTCTGACTTTGGCTCAGGTCATCATCTCATAGCTCGTGAGTTCGAGCCTCACATCCGACTCTGCACTGACAGTGTGGAGCCTGCTTGGGATTCTCTCTCTTCCTTCCTCGCCACCCCTCCCCCACTCATGCTGTCTATCTCAAAATATTTATGTAAAAATTTTTTTTAAATATTTATTTTTGAGAGAGAGAAAGACAGAGCGCAAGTGGGAAAGGGGCAGAGAGACACACACTGAATCTGAAGCAGCTCCAGGCATGAGCTGTCAGCACAGAGCCTGGTGCAGGGCTTGAACCCATGAACCATGAGATCATGACCTGAGCCAAAGTCGAACACTGAACCGACTGAGCCACCCAGGTGCCCCTCTCTGTCTCAAAATAAATACTTTAAAAAAACAAAACAAAATAATGTTCTGTTGACCTCTGACTTTTAGTGTTGCCAGTGAGAGGCCCATCTGAATAGTATTTTTTTCTCTACAGGATCTTCTAGAATCTTTTCTTTCTTAGGGTTTTGAAATCTCTCAGTTAAACTCTAGGTCTCGGCCGTCTTCCTTCATTGTGCTGAGCACTCACTGGCCCATTTCGTTTAAATATATCTGACGTTTTCTAGCATGCGAAAATTTATTACATTATTTCTCTGATGACTTCTTTCCCTTCATTTTCTCTGTTCTTTTTACTGGAATTTGTATTGACTGGCGGTTTTCAACAGAGGCAGTTCTGCCCCCCAGAGGGTGTTTGACAGTAACTGGGGACCCTTTCGGTGTCGCAGATGGAGACTGCTGCCCTCGGGGGCACACGCCCACCCGCCGCAGCACAGAACCATCCCGTCCAAATGTCACTGGTGCCGAGGCCCCTGTGTGAGACCAGCTGTCGGCCCGCTGGCCCTAATTTCGCCTCGCTTTGTTTCCTCGCGGAACTTGGCACTGTCCTGCTGTATCCTCTGCTTACCTGTCTGCCTCTGTTCTGTCCTGCGTCACCTAGAAGCTGAGCTCCCTGAGGGGGGGCTCGGCTTGTTAAGCCCCTATTCCTACTCCTTAAACCACTCAGGCGGTCGCTGGGCTCCCCCTAAATGTTTGTAGAATTAATAATGAAAAGGATACACGATTTCTGTGTGTCTTCTAACTTTATTCTGTCTCTTTATCACTTTAAATGTAAGGAATTTCCTGGACTGAATCTTTCAGGTTAATGACATTAGATTTTGCCATGTTTATTCTACTATTTAGCCTTTCCATTTAAATTTTTAATCATACATTGTTTTTTAGTTTTTAAAACCCTTTCTTGTGTCCCAGTTCTTTTTCATAATGGCCTTTTTCTTGCTTTATGGATTCTACACCCCCTTCAAAGATAGCTGGTGGTAAATATTAGAATTTTGTTGCGAGTTCTTTTCATTTAAAGGTAGTCTGTTAACCTTGATCCTTGTCATTCATGCTGTTTGTTTTTCTCAACTGTTTGAGCTGTGGGTTCACAGTGCTGACTAACTGGGTCACAGCAAGCCTGGATTTCTGTTCAAGTGCAAGGTCCCTTCTTTTTTGTTTTTTTTCAATGTTTGTTTATTTTTGAGAGAGACAGAGCGTGAGCAGGGAGGGGCAGAGAGAGAGACACAGGGTCCGAAGCAGCTCCAGGCTCTGAACCATCAGCCAGAGAGCTCAGTGTGGGGCCCAAGCCCACGGACCGTGAGATCATGACCTGAGCCAAAGTCGGACGCTTAACCGACTGAGCCCCCAGGCGCCCTCCCATCTTATTCTTGATGCTCTGCAGGAGTTTATCATAAACTTCAAATAACTAGACCCTCATCTGCTTTCTTCGTTGCAAACATCTTCTATCATTTATCTGTTAACCTTACTTATAGTGTCAGCAACTCAACAGAATTTTGGTTAAATGAATCCCACCAATTTTTCATCCTAAATTTTATGCTTTTGAGATATTATTGTTTAAGAGGTTTTGCCATTACCACAGAAATGTTTTTCTACATTTTGTACTGTTAGTGTAACCTCCACATTTAGGACTCTGATCCATTCTGGAGTTCACCTTTATGAATGGTGTAAATTGGGTTCTGACTTAATTTTTTGCATATGGTGACTCAGTTCTCTTTTCCTTCATTATTGGTAGTGCTCTCTTTATCATTTATCAGGTTTTTATGTATATATGAATCTCTCAGGGCACCGCGTGGCTCAGTTAAGCTTCTGACTCTTGATATCGGCTCAGGTCACGATCTCAGAGTCGTGGGATTGAGCCCCACATCAAGCTCTGCACTGAGCGTGGAGCCTGCTTAAGATTCTCTCTCCCTCTCTCTCAAAATAAATAAACATTAAAAAAAAGAGAAACCTTTATACTTGGGTCTCTCTCCACACCCTTTTCCACTCCATTGGCTGATTGTTCTGTTCTTGGGACAAGCTATTTGACGGTTTGTGGTTGTGTTAGGTGGCCGGGGCTGCGTAACACAGGCTGGATGATTTAAACAAAATACTTATGTTCTCAGAATCCTGGAGGCTAAAAATCTGAGATCAAGGTATCAGCGGGGTTGGTTTCTTCTGAGGTCTCCCTCCTTGCCGTAGAGATGCCTGTGTCTTCACGTGGTTTTCCCTCTGTGTGTCCTTCTCATAGGGACAGTAGCCATGTTGGATTAGAGCCCCACCTAGGGGCTCATTTTATTTTTTAAAATTTCATTCATTCATTCGGTCATTCATTCATTTTAAAATTTACATTCAAGTTAGTTAGCATGTTGTGCAATAATGATTTCGGAAATAGATTCCAGTGATTCATCCCCTCTGTATAACACCCAGTGCTCATGCCAACAAGTGCCCTCCTTAATGCCCCTTACCCACTTAGCCCATGCCCCACCCACAACCCCTCCAGCAACTCTCAGTTTGTTCTCTGTGTTTGTATTTAAGAGTCTCTTGTGTTTTATCTCCCTCCTTGTTTTTATATTATTTTTGCTTCTCTCCCCTTATGTTCATCTGTTTTGTATCTTAAATTCCTCATCTGAGTGAAGTCATGATACTTGTCTTTCTCTGACTAATTTTGCTTAGCATAATACCCTCTAGTTCCTTCTGCATAGTTGCAAATGGTAAGATTTCATTCTTTTTGATTGCCGTGTAATACTCCATGGTATGTATGTATATATATATATCCCATCTTTTTTATCCATTCATCCATCAATGGACACTTGGGCTCTTTCCATACTTTGGCTACTGT